TAAATTAAAACTCCTGTATATGCACAAAGATACAGGTTTTAGCAACTCAAGTTAAGCTTAAACTTTGCGATGCCCCTATTCCCTATTCTCGCATCATTGACTTATTGCAATAATAGGCCAGGGCAGTTAGCAAAAATAGGAGAAGTTTTTGCAATCAAGCTGATTTTTTCACAGATGATAGTACCCATCAATAGTACTCTGTAAAAAAAAGTTACACCTCCTAGGCGGCTTGCTTTTTTCGCCATGATGAATTAAAGATGGCGGCTGTTGTTGTTCTTGAAAAAAATCGTAACTTTCTTATTTATTAACGGATTTCCGCTTGAAAAAAATCGTAACTTTCTTATTTATTAACGGATTTCCGTCAAGTAAAAAAAAGTACCTTTATTTTTGAATAAACAATAAAATGAAAATATAAAATTATTTTGACAGGTTGTATTTTTGTCAAAAAAAATAAAAAATGAGAATAGAAATTGAATTGGTTCTCTTCAATTTTTTCTGAACCGTAGGTACTTCTTATGTATAAAAATTTTAAAAATATGCGCTTCTTTTTCTGGTCTTAAAACAGTTTTTGAGTTTGTGATAGGTTGAGTAATTCGCGAGATATAGGCGAGAAGAACTTGAGAATCCAAAAAAAAAAAAAAAACTTATGCAGGATGTGAAAACTGTATTTTTTGTATACGCTCTCAAAAATAGCTATTTTTTGGACTCATTTCAGTCCGTTAATTGCTTCATTTCCGGCCTAGTCCGTAACTAATCTTCATTTTCGGACTACAGCCTAAAATGCTCCATTTTCGGCCTAGTTCCAAAAAGTCGCCATAGCAACCTTGTCAGTTTTCATGTACCTGCCGGACCTGCCAATGCATAATCAGTTTAAAATTTTTAATGTTGTCACATTCACTTCACATCTTTGAGCTATTACAAAAAAGGATTTTTTGTTTCACGTATCTAAAATATAGGTTTTTTAGGTACCTACTTGTTAAAAAAATACATATTTTAGCTTGATTGACATGGAAACAGTTGCCTTTGGTTTTAGTTGATTTTTTTTTCTACTGCCTTGCATTCAAACAGTGAATTAGATTTCACACACTATTGCGTTAAGTGATTCACAACAACAAAAAAGTTTACTAAATTGAAGTTTCTTCGCAAAAATGCATAAATACCCATAAGTATAAAATTTTATATTATAAAAACCTTTACTGCCTTTTTTCTGCATTAGAAATGTGATTTTATTCCACACCTGAGGTTGTGAACTAACTTACTTTAGACACTAGGGCGTAAAGTTGTGGTATGTTTTTCTCAAATTTATGGCTTTCGAGCGTTATGATCTATATCGTCCGCTTACAATATTGTCGGTAGTAGAAAAAAAAGTGTATGCAACAGGTGTGTAAAGCTTCTTTTTCCATACATTTGTGAAAAAAGGTTCACTTTAGACATATTTTTTATACTAAAAAAAATTCTAGTACCGACAATATAAAGCCATACATTTGAAAACATATACCACAACTTTACGCCCTAGTGTCTAACTTAGTTCACAACCTAGGGTGTAAAGTAAAACCACATTTTTAGTGCAGAAAAAGGGCAGCAAAAGCTTTTATGATATAAAATTTCATACTTGTGGGTGTTTATTTCATTTTTGCGAAGAAACTAATACAATTTAGGGCAAGTATTATAAAACTATAACAGAATTACTAAAAGTTAACTTCTCGAATGACGTTACTTCTCATGGTTATTCCAAAAGTTAACTTTTAGTTATCTGTCAAAATAGTTTTATAACTTTATTTTTATACTTTAACAAGTTCATTAACTAAGGTATTAAATTTTAAAAATAATATTATCTCATATTTTAGCAATTAAAGAATTTAATGGATAATATAAAAAATATAATACAGTTAAAATTTGTCCTCTGCCCTTAATAAACTTTTTTGCTGTTGTGAATTACTTTACGCAATAGTGCGTGAAATCTATTTTCACATCTTTTGAACAGTGTGTAAAGTTAATACTTTATGCGCGGTAGTAGAAAATAGCTATTTACCTAACAAGTGCGGAAAATGATTTTTTCCGCACGCGGCTGCCGTGCACCGAACGATGCGTAGCGGAGTTCGGTGAAGCAGCCAACAAAGATTTTTTTTTACTTGACGAAAATCGGTTAATAAATAAGAAATTTACGATTTTTTTCAAGAATACCACCAGCCGCCATCTTCAATTCATCATGGCGGAAAAAGCAAGCCTTCTAAGGTGTAACTTTTTTTTTACAGGGTACTATTGATGGGTACTATCATCTGTGAAAAAATCAGCTTGATTGCAAAAACTTCTCCTAAAGGCCATTTTTTCAGCTAACTGCCCTGGCCTATAAAAGGTCTGTTCTCAGTTCTCACTTCTCACAGAAATATCCAACCAGTCAGAGCGTTTTTGATTGGTGCAAATCGCCAACAACCAGTTTTCTGACTATTTTCAACCAATTGAAAATTGACTGATTAGTGGTTTCTGTGAGAACATACCTATAGGTTACTGCCCGGCGCTGCTTCAGAAGGATAAGTTATTCTTTCAAAAAGTTCAAAATTGCTGTCTTATGCCGGTTTTCCACCAAACAGACAAAACAAAAACAAAACTCAAACTTTTCCCAAACATTCTCAAGACTAGTGTATTTTGAGACAGTTGGAGTTTTGTTTCGCCGAGAAAACATAACGTAGTCCGCTTGATGGAAACAAGAGTTTTGTGTTTATTTCAGGTTTGCTTTTGTCTTAAGACATGTTTTAAAACACAAACTCAACAGTCCGTTTAGTGGAAAATCGGCATTAGATTCTCTTACAACTTATGAAAATTTGATCACATCTCTCTAAAGTCTCTAGACTCCAAGTAGTTAAGTCTAGAAGAGAGGTATGAGGTGCAAACTGCTGGTTTGGTGTATAAGATTATTTTGTCTGGTTCGCCTGAATATTTGTATTCAGAATGCAAAACTTGTAAGAGGTAGTGATATTCATGACTGTTTAACCCGTCACAAAATAGGTATATATTGCCCAAACACAATTCTGCTCGGTTTGAGGGATCATTTTCCTACTTGGCGCCCAAGACTTACACAGATGACCGTGTCAAGCACATCATAGTAGCTAGAAGAATATAATAGGCATATTTTTAAATGTAAGTATTTGTTTTGTATCCTTTATTTTATTGTTTTTGCTTTATGTATCTAACTTTAAGTTTGATTTATTTTTAAAAAATCTTGTAATTCAATTATGTCGAGTTTTCTCTTGTTATAGGTATTTTTTTTTCAAGTGGTCGCATATTTGAGCACGAAAGAAGTGAGCATCACCACCGGTTTATTCCGGGGTTCATTCCTATATACATTTAAGTTATGCTATGTAATTTTCGTATGTGAATAATCATCTTATTACTTAGTATTATTATTATAGACACTAGGGTTATTTCATATTCCTATATCAATTGGCTCCATGATTTGCATACATACCTGCCTGGCAAGTGATAGTGAATTTCAACACAATAGAATGATATGTCTAGAAAAAGTCTCAATGCTAGAGGAACAGCGTTTTCGTTCTCTATTTAACCTTAAGGTAGCTTTTCGAAGTTTGCAACCGCGACAGGAGACAACGACACGCGACAGCAACTTATTTTGACCCACTTCGTATGTTCGACTGATGAGTTTGTCACAAGCCACTGCGCTGTCAAAGTACAGAAGTGACGATAAAAAAATAAAGGTACCTAATTGCGTAGTTATGTGCGAAAAAATCATAAAACATTTATTAGAAGAAGAAGACGATGATGATAAAATGATTTTATATTACTTTCATAAAAAACGCCAAAGAAATTCAATAGGTACTTGTATGATGTCTCGAAAAAGAAATAAAGAAGGTTATTTATTTTAAAATGTTACTTGCAACTTGCAATATTTTAAGGGACACGAATTCAGAAAATTTTGCAGGTTAAACAAACAACAATAATTTTATTTTGTTCTTAGTTTAATAGAAAAAATTTGGGAGCCAAAAACAACAAGAAACGTAATCACTTCTGAGCAAGTAGTGTCTCGCAGTCTCGCGTCACATGCGACAAACGTGACGATGCTGATGTGTCTTCCGACAAGGTCGCAACCTTCGAACTTGGTTATATTTAACATTAAATATGAGAATTTGCGACATGTCGTTGTCGCATGTCTCGGTGGCGTGTCGCTGTCTCCTGTCGCGGTCGCACACTTCGAACGGCTACCTCGAGGACTGTTTCTAGACATTTCATTCTATTATTATAATATTGCGTTAAAATTGGCCCGTAGGTGCTGACTTGCCAGACCTGTTTAATATGCCCATGAACAAAAAAAAAAAAAAACTAAAGTCGAAGGAACTGAAATGAACTATTTTTTTAACTAAGTACTTAGTACTTATAGGTAGGTAGGTATAATATTTTCTGATTTTGTGAATAGGACATGCGATAAAAAAAAGTTTATAAAAAACGAGTAAACCACTTTCTGCTACCCTAAGGCCCGGTTTATTCATCTTCAGATAAACTTGCTGCAAGATAAATTGACCGTTCTATAATTCTATTGGTTGGCGGATAACTGGCCGACCAATGAGATTACAGATTAATTTTTACATATCTGTCAGATTGCATACCTGACAGTTTATCAGAAGGTGAATAAACCAGGCCTAAATAGATTTTTGGGAGTTTATTTTTGGGTTTTTCTTACTGGACTGGCGAGCAAAAAATTTGATCATGTCCCGGAAATTAAATAATACCAATGTGGCAATCCACCAACCCTATGCACCATTTATTCAGCCCAGTAATGACATTCCCAGATATTATTTATTATTTTGAAAGTTACTGCTAGGCTTTCCATAGGTTATTTTAACTTTTATTAAAAATACTAATATGGTAAAGCCTAATATACACCCTGATTTGAGTAGTAGAGTAATGCACGATTATGTTAATCACCATGAATTCCTAAATACTGAATTTGATGAGGGTTATTAATTTAGAATTCAGAGATGTCTTACCTCGGAATGATCCAAAAACACCGTAAAAACTGCAAAAAAGTGTCAAAAACTGTCCAGTCGATGTATCAATAATCCTGATCCTAACCTCAAAAATTAAACAAACAAACCACAAACCACCTCCCTTCGAGCAAGGATGTTACACACCTACAGGATTGCTTATCGGCCTTGTTTTTGCTAATCGCCACGCATATTGGTGTGTCACCATTTCCGACGTCACCTGTTTAAACAGCCTACGTCAAGGCGACAAATAACATGCTGCCTACGTCACAACTGGTGATTTGGCTTGTGGGCGGGGGGGAAGGGTGATTTGATTCATACATATGAGGATAGGCTATCCTGTAGTAGTTGTATTCCTTTCAAGAGTTTGAAGCACTCGAGCTACTCGCTTCGGTGTTTAGTAGCCCCCGATTTGCAGGGAACAGATGCGTGGTGCAACAAACATTTTTCGAAATGAATAAGCGCGTGAAGCCCCGGAGCTGTTCTGGAGCTCCTCATAGGTGTGAAAGGAATACAACTATTAGTAGTGTGCATCATCCTTGCCCTTCGAGACCATTTACAGGCGACCAAACGATACCAGTTAGAAAATGACAGACCAAGGCAATAAGGCATCGACCAACCTTGAACCAAAACCCCTCTAGAAATCGGGCTGAAATGTAACCAAAGCCGTTTTCTCGCATCCACTTTCTTCAAAACAGGTTTGAAACGGGCAATGGTGTTACCATTGCTCAAAACTGTTTTGAACCAATGTCAAAAAAGTGGACGCGAGAAAACGGCTTAACTATTCGGAATATGAGTTTGAAATCATTCAAATGAAAGGTAATGCAGAATCCAAACACTCCAATAGATTTTTCGCAGGCGGTCGTATAACGAAAGCAGACGATATCAAAGGCCTAGGGGGCCGGTTTCTCATCCAGAGTTGTATTCCTATCACACCTAGGAGGAGATCCGGAACAGCTCCGGGGCGTTACGCGCTTATTCCCTTCGAAATGTGTTTGTTGCATCAGAGGTGGTTTCTCGCATCTCAAAGTTTTGAAACATTTGTCAACACTGGTTCAAAAAAGTTTCACAATGACGTCATAACTTCTCGGCGCGAGAAAATGGTTTGAAAACGTGGATTCGATTGTATTTCGAAACGGTTGGAACCAATTGTTTGTGACGTCATGGGTTCATCGCGAGAATATACTATTTCAAACCTACTTTGAACTAGTTTCAAAAAAGTGGACGCGAGAAAACAGCTCCGAAGTGCTCAAGCCCGAACTCAAACCATTTAGGGCGGGTATTATAAAACTGCTTTGACAGTTAACTTGAAGATAACTTTATGAATTACATGTAATTCCAGAAGCTAACTTAAAGTTAACTCTCAAAGTAGTTTTATAATACCCGCCCTTAATGCACGAAAGCCAGCGCATCTGTTCTTTTCAAATCGGAGTCGGCTAACACCGAGCGAGTAGCTCTAGTGTTGTAAACTCTTGAGGGCCGGTTTCTCAATAGCAAGTTACCCCAGGGTAAAGATAGCAACTGGACACGCATACCCTAGAGTTAAAACCAACCCGGAGGTGACTCGCTATTGCGAAACCGGCCCTGAAAGGAATACAACTAATAGCGAGTCACCCGCGGGTTAAGCATCACTCCAGAGCCGCTTTCCAGTTAAGGGAGTGTGACGCTCGGAGCTCCCGAGCTATACGCACGGACAAACGTCACACGTCATGATACTGGAACGGTACAAATCTAGTGCGTGGCGCTCCCGGGGTGCTCTAGAGCGTCCCAATGTGCATACTGGAAACCAACTCAGGGTAAACCTTGCAACTGGACACGTTTACCGGAGTTAAAATCAACCCGGAGGAGACTCTATAGTTCTTTTCACGTGGCTCCGGTTTAACTAACCGAGTTACAAAACGGTTAGAGAAATGACATACCGTTTTCTAACCCGGTTACAAAGCGACGTGTGGATACCTACCACTCGAATTTGAGCGGTATGTTGTGGTTTGTTAAACCGGAGCCACGTGAAAAGGGTTTAAAGTTCGTTTCACGTGGCTCCGGTTTCACTAACCGTGTTACAAAACGGTTTGAGAAATGATATACCGTTTTCTAACCCGGTTACAAAAGTGACGTGAAGGATACCTACCACCAGAGATGTGCGTCTACACGTAGACTTTCATTGTCTACTTTACGTGTAGATAATGTAGACAATGTAGACAACGTGTTAACAATGTAAAATAATATAAATGACGTTTAATTCTAACCTCACACTTTTATTTTTTTAAATTATTTTTATTTTATTATTGGTTTTGCTGATATTTTATAATCAGTGAATGCTGATGTCGAAGTGATAGTGATAGTATAGTAACTTTTGATATTTTTTTTCGAATTTTTTAAAGTAAGTTATTGTTTACGCCACATGTAGACAATGTGTAGACAAATGCTCACGTAAACAATTCGAATTGTCTACGCGTAGACAATCAATTGTTTACGTTGACATTGTCTACAGGCAGGGATGTGCGTCTACACGTAGACTTTCATTGTCTACTTTACGTGTAGATAATGTAGACAATGTAGACAACGTGTCAACAATGTAAAATAATATAAATGACGTTTAATTCTAACCTCACAGTTTCCTTTTTTTAAATTATTTTTATTTTATTATTAGTTTTCCTGATATTTTATAATCAGCGAATGCTGATATCGAAGTGTAGTGATAGTATAGTAACTTTTGATATTTTTTTTTCGAATTTTTTAAAATAAGTTATTGTTTACGCCGCATGTAGACAATGTGTAGACTAATGCTCACGTAAACAATTCGAATTGTCTACACGTAGACAATCAATTGTTTACGTTGACATTGTCTAGTCTACAGGCACATCACTGCCTACCACTCGAATTTTAGCGGTATGTTGCGGTTTGTTAAACCGGAGCCACGTGAAAAGGGTTTATGAGAAACCGTCAAATCGACCCTGACACGTGAGAACTTGACATTTGATTCAACGAACCGTTTATTTTCTTTTGTTTGGCATTTGATTGACATCTTTTCCATCCAACATAAACAAATATTTCAATTTTAAATTTTTAGTTTCAGTTTAAATTTGTAGCGTTTCGCTGTTATCAGTGGTTGGCTTTAAAAAAAAAATCAAACTATGAATAATTGAAGTGATAATATTATATTTTTTCATGGAACTAGCCCATTAAACGTCAAGACTCAAGAAAGACACTGACTTAAATAGGTAATACTTTTCCTCCATCGAGTTTATGTTTGTTGTAGTAGTTTTTTTCAAGAATTAACTTCATCATCACATTCAATAAAATACAACAATGAACTGTGCTATATGTTATGATACTTATGATACAAAATATTTTCCAATCAGTGCTCAGTAGCCGCCTCGAAAATTACCAACTATACTGTGTAGGATCCAATTTATATTTTATACAAGATTCACTATTATGAAAGAAACGCAATAGTAATCTAATTACATTTTTATTGCTTTCTTAAACCTATGCTACCCATTTGTATTTCTAATATCGGTTGTTTTTTTGCGACATAATTTTTCCGAAGGTTCTGTTCGATTATGTTGAGTAATAGGAAGTTACCCAATGACGTTTGGATTACCCAGCATAATCGAACATAATTCTTTGGAAAAATTATGTCGCGAAAAATTGGCTATTGTCTGCCAGTCTTTCAAATGAATCAACTTGTATATTATGACATTTATGGATTCTGCGGGAAATTTTCGACATATTTCATGTACAATGTCATATACCTATCTTCAACAGTTTCGGAAATATTGACAGTTGAAAATTGATTTTTATGCAACTTTGACAGGCTGTAAAACCTGAACGATTAATTTTATAGGAAAACCGATTTTTTATTTCTGTCTAAGATTTTCATAAACTATCATTTGGCAACAACTTTGAATTTACCCGGAGATTAAAAATTTAACCGGAATTTTTATTAACCGGAATTTTTAATCACGGATTAACTTCAAAGTTGGTGTCAAACGATAGTTTATGAAAATCTAAGATGGGAATGTAAAATCCGTTTTCCTCTAAAATTAACCGTTCAGGTTTTACAGCCTGTCAAAGTTGCAAAAAAATCAATTTTCAACTGTCAATATTTCCGAAACAGTTGAAGATAGGTATATAACATTGTACATGAAATATATCACAAATTTTCTGCAGAATCCATAAATGTCATAATATACAGGGTGGTCTATTTGAAAAAACAAAGTTGATAGCAGCGGAGATATTTTTGAGACACCCTGTATAATAAAAAATATATCAAAAAATTTCAAACAAAATTGACGTGTCTGAGCGATTTTTCAAAAATTTTACTGTTTTCAAAATAATGAATTTAACCGTTACTTTACGGACACACTGTATAATGCTGAGCTACTCATCAAATTTAGGCTAAGTAAACCAATTCTAATAAATGATAAAATTTGAAAAAAAAAATAGAGAAAAACGCGGATAAACTCAGCTAACGGGTATTTATAATGGACGGTTGCTGACAGACTGTAGGTCTGTTTCCACAAAAATCACAAACTAGTCTGAGCGAATTTCATTGGTTGAAAATAGTCAGGAAGCTGGTTGTTGGCGATTTGGGCCAATCAAAAATGCTCTGACTGGCTTGTGATTTATGTGTGTTAACCGACCTACTGACAGATCATACTAGATGACGTCACGACCAATAGTCAAAGTCAAAAAGTCAGGCGGTGTCACGTAGCTGGATTTATAGTGTCGTATCAGTAACAGTAGCAGTAACAGTAGAATATTAAAACACGGCCGACCGTAAAGCCATTTAAAATTCACTTAACAACAAACTTATCAGTAAAACTTAAAAAATGGTTATTTTCATATCTGTTCTTAAGTTTTAAGTTACTGTTACTGATACTGACACTATAAATCCAGCTTAGTGTTAGTTGTGTAGATATAGATAAATTTAATTTATCCCATTTGTCAGTAGCGTAGATAAATTCAATTAGTTGCATTTTGATTTAATAAGGATTTTTTAGCAACTAACCGTTTGTAATCATGTTATAAACGGAAGCTGAAATTAGGCCTTTTCAGAATCGCTAATTTCATTAACCGGATCACCAGCTGATGTACTATGTCTTTTTTCAATCATGTTCATTAAAGAAAGACAAAAAACAAACAGCTGGTAATCATAAGCGTTTCCGAAAAGGCCTAATTTCAGTTACTCGCTAAAAAATCCTTAATGTTTACTGATATTTTTTATAAATCACCAACTTACAAAAACGCGATTTAAATCATGCGATTAAAATATAATAATAATTTGATTAAAATCGCGATTTTAATCACTGATTTAAATCAGGTGATTTAAATCAATGCAACCCTGATTAAAATAAAAATACAATACAAGGTCAGACTAAAACAATAAAATCTTTAAAACAAAAGATGAAGTCACTTTAAAAATCAACATAAATATAAACATAAATCAATATAAATACAAAAACATGTTCATTCTAAAATATAAAATAAAAAATATCAAAATTGCACAAACGTAAAGTCAACAAACACAGAAGTCATTAAATAAAACTACAAATTATATTCAGACAGTCACAAGAAAGCATCTTGGAAGAATTCTTCTGTGCTATAGTAGGCCTTTGATAATAGAAGCCTCTTAAGATGTACTCTAAATTTTTTACCAGATACTATCTGTCTCAGATGCAGTGGCAGATGGTTAAAGATCTTTTTACTTTGATAGATTATTGAGTTTTTTGTTTGTGTGGAGGAAGGGATAGGAAGGTTCACATTGTGTGTTTGTCGAGTGGTATGTACAGATGAAAATTCGTGTATGTTTTCCTTAAACTTTTTATGAACGAGACATGAAGTCTCTAGTAAAAAAATAGCAGGAAATGTAAGCAATTTATGACGCAAAAACAATGGTCTACATGAGTCTTGTAATCCTATCTTAAACATATACCTTACCGCCCTCTTTTGCAACACAAACAACATATTAAAGAGAGACAATGAACAAAAACCCCAGAAACATATTCCATACCGCAAATAGCAGCGCATTCTTTGCCGCTGGAAATAATTTGAATTTTTTCGCATTTCTAATTCCTTATTGTGGCCGTTAGGGACAAAAAAAATATTTTGTTTCGCGGATATATGTTAATGTTCTTATATAAAATATAGTAATATTTTCATGTTTAAATTTTTTGTCAAGTTCCATATTAGGTGCCTTTTGTGATGCTTCAAGAGGATAAATTCTAGCCATGAGAGGAAGTCTTGAGTTATTGTACGATGGTGGCTTCTAAATTACACTTGCTCTAGTATTTTGCTCACTTATACATACACAAATTCAATCAATCATATCCACTGACTCCTCTAGTTCACGAAATTGTATACCCTTCTCTAGGTATATTGCTACAGAAATGCACACTGATGTATTAGTCTGGAATAGCCGATGTATTAGTCTGGAAAGATTCTCCTTCTTCTACCCATGTCTCTGCCAACAGGAGCATATCACAGTTACTATCCCTAATATAACATTCCACAAAATCCAAATTATTACCAGTACTCTGTACATCCAGTCAATTCTGAGTCTTACTTGAGGCCCCATTAGTTTTCCAGTTGTTTCATACAGCCCACAAGCAATAACTTTGAATTTTCATACTTTCCCAAAAGGTTACTTCTTTCTATTAAAGTTTTACTATTTGTTTGTTCAATATTTATTTCTATATTGCAGAATTCAAATGAGCTCAGACGAAGTCGACAAATCGACAGAACAAGTCCTTGAATACTACAAAAAGTATTCGCAGAATCGTAACCTACCAAAATATTTCTCAGGAACTTCAGTGTCTTACTTACCTCCCATAAATACTGAGAGCACGGATGAACAGGATGACAAAAGTTTTGAAAAAACGCCTGCAAAATCGTTATATCAGTCTAACCAACCAATTGATATTCCTGAAATTAGGATTGTTGAAGAGCAACCAAAAGATGTGACAGGTGATTCTCCAAATGCCAGTTCATTGGAAAGTCCTTCAGCAGAACACAAAAAACTTGAATGGGATAACGGTGCTGATATTGGATATAATTCAGCTAGAAAAAATTCTGAACTACAGTTAAGAAAAAGTTCATCGCTTCCGATTTTTGACAATTTAAAAGAAATAAAACCCAATGTTATCATACCAATTACTAGACCATCAAGTACCATCAAAGCCTTGACCAGTAGTGTGTTAATTGATGCTCTAATCTTTAGTTCAACAAGCAGTTCAGATGCTTCAAAAAAAAGTTTAGAAAAAGTATCATCTAGCTCATCAACAACCACTGAAGGTAATCCAAAACCCTTAAGTAGTTCAAGTACAAGTTCATCTAACGCTCCTGTAAATGCTAATTCAAGTAGTTTAGACGCGGATGAAACGAGATTTAAAGGTTTCCAAATGTCTCTTGATTTTTTAAAAAATAAATTTGGCATACCAGATGCACAGTCGACGCCCTACATTGTAAGCAACGAAAAAACTACCGAAAATTTGACACCTTTGACCGCCAAAGTAGTTGGACAAAAACCTAGTAGGAGTAAATCAGAAGCTTCACAGGTAAGTTAAAATTTAATCTCGAATTTAATTTACCATTCATATCTAATTGGATATTTCTTTTAACTTTTTTGTTTTTTTACAATTCACAATATTGAATATTATATTCTTTACACAGTGTTTTAGAACACTGTTGCCAAGGATAAATTATTACGCCAGTCAATTTTCAACAGTTCAGCAATAAGAGCGGAGAATCTTTACGAGTTAAACAAGGAATAGGTCTCGGAATAGGTATAATAATAATATAAACTAAATTGGAGAGTTATGTAAACTTATATACCTACCTATAATTTAATTTGTTCCACACATTTTGTTATATTTTTTATATTTTCCGGAAGTGAATCATAACTTATTGATGCATGTGTCCTCTGAATTAGATCTACGCAATTATTGCTCAAATTTTATTCCAGTTCTTATGTAAATTGGAGTATTAAAGTGCTATTATTTATTCAATATTTCGCATTATTATATTATTAACAAAAAAATAATGAAATATTCAACTGAATATAGTTTTTTTCAGGCAAGCAAAACCAAAATGCAAAAAATTGACAAACCATACGATGCTAATTGTAGTGCCCCGGATTTGACACTAAGTAATAAATCACAGACTATCCAAATTGAAAAATTTAGACAACCTAAAATTGAAAATCAATTTGAATATAAAACTGAAGCGGCACAACAACAAGCCTCAACATTAAAAACAAATATTGTCAGTATCTCTGAAGATTCGGCTTCCAGTTTTGAATATTTTAGTGTAAATAAAGAAAGAATTCAGACTCAGAAATCTGCTTTTGAGAATTCAAGCAAAGAAAATCCCATCACATCAAAAAAAATATCCTTATCTGAATCTGGCAATGATTCAAGGACTGACGACATTGACAGACTTTTAGAAGCATTTCATAAGCTGTTGGAGACTAAAAAAATTAGTTCCACCAAAAAAAAAAAGTATATGAAAAAAGTGTTTAGGGAATTCTGCCAAATTGAATCTTCAGGCAATTCTACAACGAGTTCTGATCTATTTTTCCCAAAGAAATCTTTATCTAGCAAAGTAGATTCCAAGGAAATTACGCCTGTTGTTGCCTCATCAAAGGACACCAAACACAGTCACATAAGTAGTAATGAAAGTAGATCAATAACAGAATCAGAGTGTCAGCAGTGCATTGAAGAAATTGAGTGTATAATTAAAGTATCACCAACTGATAGCGAACCTGATAAGACTAAAAGGGCAGAAAAACTACCTGCTAAAGATAAGATCAGTACAAGTAAAAATATTAATGCAATTGCATCCAGTGGTGAGTCTTCACAGCCACCAACTAATGCTCAATTGGCCACTTCTCCTAGAGCTTTAGAGAGTGAAGGTGTCAGTAAAGATTTAAATAGAAAGTTAAGTTCTCAAACAGGAATAACACAAACCATTAGACAGGATCAGGTAGTTCCAGCTGACATAAATATATGTGAGGCTAATTATAAAGCAAGTAGAACTAATTCCAAAAAAGCTATTGCTACAACTCCAACAAGCCTACCCCGATCTGATTCACAATTATCTGACAAATGCTCTGTTGATTGTTTATCAACATTTGCTGAAAAAGAACGAAATTATCATCTTAATTGGATCAACAGTGAGATAAGTCATCTTTCAAAGATTAAAATCATTCTGGAGAAGAAAAAACTTGAGAAAAACAATAAAACTACTAGAACACAGAGACACATTTATAATATTACTGAAAAACACGGCTCTTTGAGTCGAAACTTTGTCATTCAAACCAAAGTTCCAGAAGATCAAACTGTTAATAATTATATTATTAATGGCAAAGAATATGTTGTCTCAGGTTCTGGAAAATCCGAAGGAAAATCTATTGACAGTGATGTACCTTATAAAGCTAATATTGAATTGAATTATAATGAATACGAAAACAATATTGAAATAAGGACTATTTGTAATTTTTGCAAGAAAGTTGAATGTCTTTGTTCTAACGCAACATTGAATTCCAAATTATCCTCTTTGAAATCTAATTCCAATTTGTGTTTGAATTGTGAGCAACAAGTTTGCTGTTGCGAAAAAGGGAATTCCGAGGGGAATTCTGTTGAAGGCAAAAATGTTGTGGCTCCTAAAATATCACATCAGAAACCTGGTAAACCACAAAAAGTATGTCTGAGTTGTCAATTGGTTGATTGTGGTTGCCAAAACCAAAAAGACCTTTCTGAAGATAAGGACTCTCAAATTCCTTCAAGAGGTACAATAAGTTACAAAGGAGCTTCAAGCAATAGTTCAACTCAGTCTCATATATCTTCTTCAGGTAAATTTGGATATGGAATAATATTTATTATAAATTAAAATCTGTTGATGGGACTCCCTAATGCCTGTATCCACCAATAAGCACCCTTACCATTTGTTACGTAACTGTAAGTTAACACTAATTGGTAGTTTACTTTAATATCGTATCCGCCATCAGTTTTTGTTACACTGGAAAAAAAAGTACACAAATATAACGAAAAAGTGCATTAAGCCAGTGAATCTCGTCATTAATATTGAGCCGATGAACGAATTTGTTAATATTATGAAAAGCTGTTTGTTAAATAGATGAAAAAAAGGTTCATTGATTTAACGGTTGAATTCATTGTCGCAGAGTAAGGATTCTATCATTTTGACGTATAGAATTCGTTGCGTGAGTGAAATAACTTCTTCAGTATAATGTACAAGTAACATTGGTTTAATGGATCGAATTTTCAATTCAATGTATGCGGTTTCATTGGCTTAACGTATGAATGCATTATCCTAGGCTCAGTTGCATGAACAAGAATATTCATATTATGGGTTCGGTTCGAGTTAACCGGAGCCGAACTGTGACTAAATTATCTTCTATTCTATTCTTCATCGATTGTGCGTGTTCTAATGGCTATATAAACCAATTCTGGAGCCGCACACTCTTCCATAGTCTTGGCCCACCCAGTCTCTGACACCATTGTCTCTTCCTCTGATCTCTCGCTCCTTCCTGCGTTCCCTCTTTTCGGTCTCATGTCAGCGTCGCTGTTCTTCAGAAGTTTGTGGTCCATCGTGGACTACTTGACTACACGAGGGCCTATCATTTGTCCTCGACTCCCAGTTGCTGATATCGATATGACACTTTGCCAAAATTTCCTTTAGAACATCTTTGTAGCGTTTTTGTTGACCTCCTTGATTCCGTTTTCCATCTTTCAGCTGACTGTAGAGAATCTGTCGTGGAAGACGTGTTTCGGGCATGCAAACGAGGTGATCTGTCAAGCGAAGTTAGTGCTTGATGATAGTTGGAATTTATTGAAAGCGGGACAAAAGCGGGACGCCTATTAAATCGAGACTCGTGGCTCGAAATCGGGACGGATGGTCACTTTATTTTCTCAAAAACTGATAAGGGAAAAATTTTGAAACTTCTGGAGTAGAGAGAGAAAGACTAGAAGCTCATCATAGTAAAATTTCAAATGAATCCGGTAGAAAACAACCTCAGCAAAAATTCATGGAAATTAACTTTGAAAAACTAAATAAAAAAATCATCAAATAAAATATCAAATACATGATCTCACATTCTAATGGTTTTCTTAAAAACTGATAAGGGAAAAATTTTGAAACTTCTGGAGTAGAGAGAGAAAGACTAGAAGCTCATCATACTAAAATTTCAATTAATCCAGTAGGAAATAACCACAAGAAAAATTCCTGGAAATTAACTTTGAAAACCTAAATAAAATATAAAATTCATATGATCTCACATTCTAATGGTTTTCTCAAAAACTGATAAGGGAAACATTTTGAAACTTCTAGAGTAGAAAACGAAAGACTGGTCTGACTCTTGATTCCAGTGTCCAAAATGCAAAAAAACTAAACAATAAACAGTAAAATCTTACCAGGTTCTTGTTATGACTTCATATAATTCTGGATTCCAGTGCGTTTTCTTCACAAATCTTGCAGATTTTGTATTAAACTCTTGGTTATTAGTGTTGCCCTTCCTTGTAACAAAAATTTTACAATTTAGGTTTCTTGTAATTTTCAATAACTTTACCTTATTAAGTTTACCAATAATTGGAACTTCAAGCCCAATTTCCACACCACCCTAGAGGTACGAGCCGTCAGCGCGTTTTTTTTTCAAGTGATTTCCCCGTTAGGCCTAATGCACTTTGAAATTACACTTGTACAGCCAAAACCGTCAACTATCCATTAATCCAACCTTCACTTCTCAGCTAGGAAGATACCACTGCAAACACTTACCATACTTACGGTGTATATTTAGTGCAACAAATGAGGTCCAGGGCAACTATGGCATTAGGCTCCCCCGGGGCTTCCCTGCCTTGAAGATTCAGTCGAATCATGAACTGTTTTTCGGGAATTGACACATATGTAATTTCAGCTGAAAGAGAAAAGTAATGAAAATTTTGGATCCAGGCAGTCATGTTCATCATTGTCAGTCAGTTGTGGCTACGTCATTTGTTCCAATCACAGACTGTTCCAATGTCCACCATTGCCAGTCATTTGTACCTTGTCCACCATTTCCAGTCATTTGTCCCATGTCCAGAGTGGTAACCAGTTTGCAGGAAAGGCTATCCAATGTCTAAAGTAAGGATAACCTAACTGGAAAAGATATTAAGACAAAATGGGCATAGAAAAGAGAAACCTGGAATGTTAGATAAATGTATTATTATTATGCTTGAAAAAGACAATATATTATTATTATTAATCACCCAAACTGATCCATAAAGCATCTATTGGTCCATTGGTCCATAGTCAAAACCATTCCCAACTGAAAAAGGCCAATTTGTATCATATCCAGGGTCAAAACCAGCTCACTTCCTGGTTCAATTTGGGAACCGGATGCCTGGAAAAAACAACTTTATGTTAGTGAAAATTCAATGTTTTATATTAAAAATTACCTATTTATTCAGCTTCCAATATCCATCAACCTGGAAAAAATATAATATCCAACGGTGTCCAGAGCATGCTACCCTAGAATTCCAACGTTGTCCAGGGCATCCTTCCCTAGAATATCCATCGGTGTCCAGGGCATCCTACCCCAGAAAGCATAAAATCCTCATAAACATACATATTTTTCTGAAAAGCATGAAAATCAAAACAACATGGTTTAGGAATAGGGAAAGGGAATCTTTATTTTTTTTAATGTATGCAATGTTCTGCAACCTGCATTGTTGATGATGTTGTCTTCATCTGAAACACACAAAACAAAAAAATTATCCAGCTGCTAATAATCTGGAAACAACTTATATCCAAGAAGCTGCCTCATAATGTTGATATTGTCTTCATCTGGAAAACACAAATCAGAATTATCCAAGAGAGCATTCGGCTGTTCCGTGTCCCTTTTGGGCTTGATCTAATATCGAAATTACATTGTACCGACACCCAACAGCATCCGTAACTTGAACCCCTCTCGCCCGTATGTTTTGCCGGCTGCTACACATACCCGGATGGTATATTAGTGCAACAAATGAGATCCAGGGCAACTATGGCATTAGGCTCCCCGCGGCGCAGCTGGTACCGAAAAGAAACGCTCAAACCACCAATGTTGAAGGATATTGATGAAATGGAACTTCAATTTGTTGATTGAGTGAAAAGTTTACAACCAAATGCTCAATTATTATATTGTATGTGGAAAATGCACTATTATTACCTTGCGTTTTTGGTTTTGAGACTTACACACCTCAATTGAGATTTTCACCAAAGCCTATTTTACTTGATTGGGTTTAGAAGATTTTTTTGTTGGATGACATTAGAAGGAGAGGCTCACCTAAGGAATAAAAGTGGCATAATTTTTAGGGATATCAATTAAATACACTCTTTTATATTTTATTGTTTTTCTGGAAAACCACTGATGGGAGAATTATGATACTTCCAGGAAAAAAAGAGGCAGGTTATAGTAGATGTGCTCCTTATAATAGGTATTTTTGACTTTTGTGAGTTACAAGCTGAAATTTTTACAGAATAAAGGTTTCATTATGACATGGTCATGAACAAGTGCCCATATCTTTGTTAAATTGGAAAGAGCATTGAATTCTCTATAAATCTGTGCAAAACTGAGTTTGATAGCTCCAATAGTTTTTGAGCAATTGAGCCTCAAAGTTGACTTTTATTCCAAATTTTGTCAAAAACTTCAAATTCAATTTGCTCAAAAACTATAAATCTGGGAATATTGTTAATTACAAGCCATGTAGAGCCTAATAAGAGTTACAAATGCTAAAAATTTTAATGCAATTTGCTCAACGGTTACCGAGCCATTAAGGTTTGAATATTTTGAAATCAAAATTCAAAGGGGGTTGGTTACCCTTATGAAAAACTGGATTTTTTTTTTTTCAGTTTTGTTCAATTTTGACTTTATTACTGGATAAAGCGGGTCAAAATTAGTGGCAAATAACATTGAAAACAATCCTGACATCAATTCCAAATAGCCATTTCAACCAGAAAAAAAGAAATACAAAGAAAATCCTATTTTTGACTCTGGAAAATTTTCAAAACTCGACATGGCCATGAACAATTGCCCATATCTTTGGTAAATTTTGAGCAAATTGAAATAAGTTATATACCATTGGAAAGAATATTAAATTCTCTATAAATGTGTGCAAAACTGAGTTTGATAGCTCCAATAGTTTTTGAGCAATTGAGCCTCAAAGTTGACTTTTAGTCCAAATTTTGTCAGAAACTTCAAACTCAATTTAATCAAAACCTATAAATCTGGGAATATTGTCAATTACAAACCATTTAGAGCTTGATAAGAGCTACAAATGCTGAAAATTTGAATGCAATTTGCTCAACGGTTACCGAGAAATTGAGGTTTGAATATTTTGAAATCAGAATTTAAAGGGGGTACCCTTATGAAAAACTCGATTTTTTTATTTTTCAGTTTTGCTCAATTTTGACTTTATTAATCGATAGAGCGGGTTAAAATTAGTGGAAAATAACCCTGACATCGATTCAATTGGCCATTATAAGCAGAAACAAAAATACAGAGAAAATTCTATTTTTGGCTCTGAAAAATTTTCTAAATCTTGATATGGTCAGGAACAATTGCCCATATCTTTGGTAAATTTTGAGCAAATTGGAATAAATTATATACTATTGAAAAAATCATTAAATTCTCGATAAATCTGTGCAAAATTGAGTTTGATATCTCAAATGGTTTTTGAGCAATTGAGCTTCAAAATTGACTTTTAGTCCAAATTTTTGGGCACTCTACTATTAGGAGCTCATCATACTAAAATTTCGATCTTTTCTAGTAAAAAATAATAAAATGGAAAATTAATGAATTTGTAAGTTAAAGGGAAA